GTACGGGGGCATCGTCATCGTCTTCGGCCAACGAACCGAATCACCCTTAAAGCCGCCCGATGTCCTCGGATCTCGACAGCTTAGCAAGAGAGAGCTTGAGCCTGACCAACAGCGGCACGTGGGTAGGGAGACGACAACAAACAGGCCAGGGGCACATCGCCACCACGCGCGGTCGGCTCGGAGCAGTGAGGCGGCCAGGGGGCATCGCGGGCACGGCAATTTGTGCGTGGCCACACATTTGGGTCACTCGCGGAAGGTTGAATCTTTTTTTTTTTGCGGAGCTTCCGAGTGTCTCACCCGAACTCTCGTGTGCGTTTCATGCCCGGGCACTCCGCTCTGATCCTTCCTCCCCCCCAGTAGGATGGCGCGCGCTCGTTAAATGAGAAGTGGACAGAGACATCCGCAGCGCAACAGGCGCCTCCCGATCAAAAAACAAAGAGTGAGCGCTGGGGCCAAGTGAGGATTTCGTGGGCAAATAATTGGCGTTTTTGCAATCGACGTGTACGTATGTTGAACTGTCTTCTTGATTCTTTCGGTAAAGTCACGTAGAATGGAAAAAATAAAATAATAGAAATCAAAACATTATAAAATAATAATTGTATTGTTTTTTTTGGACGATTTTTGAAATAATAAAAATAAAACATAATAAAATAATAATTGTATTATGTTTTATTTTTTATTATTTTATTTTTCCATTCTACGTGACTTTACCGAAATAACCAAGAAGATGAATCCCTGCAGTCACGAAAGCTTTAAGTCGAAATATGTTGAACTGCTTTAGCGACGTATGTAGCCAACCGTGCTAATTGGAGGTGCGGGGGAAGGACAACCAAGAGCAGATAAAATGCACCCGTAAAAACAAAGTTTTTCGCTATAAATCCTTTATATGCGTGGCATCGGTTTTATTTTATTATTCATTTCTGTTTTTCTTGAGTAAGAGTTTCATTTTTATCACATTGGTATTTTAAATTAAATATGAATTTTTTTTTCCTAAAAAGTGGAAAATTTTGGAAAATTTTTTCACGAAAATAAATTGTCACGCACAACGAGTCTGTGTGCAAAATATCAGCTCGATTGGATCACGGGAAGTGGGTTAAAAAACGACCGAAAGATTTGCACGGTCGTAAGCGCGCAAGCAAGTGAACTTAATATAAAGGATTTAATAAAGATAGTAATGTTTCAATCCAGTGACCGTCGAACACGTAAATGCTGTGAGGTCGCTCTCGGCGTCGGGTGGAGGAGGGTTAACGACACACATTTTATTTATGCGATCTTACCCGCACCCCACCCCCGTCCACAGTTAGGGGCCGTGCATAAATGACGTCACGCGATTTTGGACGATTTTTGAGCCCCCCCCCCCCCCTCGTCACACGGCGTCACATAAAGTCAGACCCCCCCCCCCCTCAAATACGACGTCACAAAGCTCTGCCCCCACCCCACCGAAAATAAAACAAATCGCTTTAGACTATTGTCATTGTACTGCGTATTTAATGTGGCGCTGCACTCTGTTGTAGGAGAAAACATTTATTAAAAAAGTCTATTTAATTAAGTAGAACGTGTTGTCTATATTTATTTAAAGTTGCGCATTTTGATGTGACGCCGCATTTCTCACCCCCCCCCCTCGTCACACATCGTCACAAATGTCTGACCCCCCCCCCCTCAGGTGCGTGACGTCATTTATGGACGGCCCCTTTAGGATTTTCATAAAAAAATAAAATCATCAATATTCGTCAGCATGGGTGGATACAGGGACAGCGTGTCTATTTTTGCGATGTGTATCGTCATCGTCTCTGATGCACGTAGCGGCTCCCCCTCTCTCCCAAACTCTCCCGACCTCTCTCCCCTGTCCTCTTTACTGCCTCGCCGCTTACGATCCCTCTCTCTCTCTCTATGCCGCCTCCATCTCACCCTTCCTCCTCACCACCTCCTCCTCTTCTAATCTGTTTAAACGTCGCTTCTCTCTCTCATGGCCTCTCGCCATTATTCTCTCTCCCCTGTGTGTGTGTCTCTCTCTCTGCCTTTTGCTGTTTCTCTCCGCCTCTCCCACGCTTTGTTTCCTCCTCTCCCCCGGCCCACCCACTCCATTTCCTCCCCGGTTCTGGCCCATTTCACCCCTCCCTCTTCCTACCGCTATTCCTCTCTCTCTCTCTCCCCCATTGCTATATTTACCCTTTTCACTCCCCTGCCTCTCTCCCCCCTCCTCTCTCGCTCCCCTCTATCTCATCTCTATCCTCTATCTCCCTCATTCCTTTCCCTTGCCTCTCTATCTCCCGTCGCCCTTTTGCCCAGCCGCACTTTTCTTGTCTCCCCTCCCTCTGCCTCTCCCTCTCTGTCCCTTCACCTCTCTGCACTCTGGCACTCTCATTTTTATGTCTCTCTCCCTTAACAACATCTACACATCGGCTACCTCTCTCGCACTCAATGCCTCCGCTATAATTCTCCCCCGATCCCCTCTCTCGCTCTCTCCCCACCCCGATTTCTCTGCTCCCCCCTCCTCTCTCTCTCTCTCCTGCCTCTCCACTCACTGTTGCCCTATCCGCGCCTCGTGCAATCAACGCTGGCAAACGACCGCGGGTTCAGGCGGCGATGCCGTGGCCTCGCCTCGACTGTTCCACCCATGCACGACATCTCTCGTGTGCCTTGTGTGTGCCTGCGTGCGCATGTCTGCGTGTCTCTGTGTTGTCACCGTGGGGAACGATGGTGCAGCGGTTAGCGCCCTTGCGGGTTCGATTCCCGCTCACGGCCAAAAGCAGTGACTGATTATCTGAACCTGGTCCTGGGCCCCGGGCCTCCCCCTAGGTCGACTCAGCCTCAAATGAGTAGCTGGTGCGGTGTGTAAACATCGCCATTAGGGAGACAAAGGCGGTCGGGCGTGGTGCTGGCCACCCACCTTCTCGTGTGCCGTTCCGGCCTTCATAGGTGCTCGCTAACAGCACTTGCCCCTACAGTCTGTTAAGGCTATATGGGGGATCTTGTCTTGTCTCCATATAAGGTATCCGTCTCATAAAGCCTCGCCGCAATATCTCCACGGATGTTCAGAATGTGTTAATATATTTTGTATTCATTACTTTCATGATCACGCTTGTTTACCCAGGAAAGCCTCACATGGGAGGGTCTCGTCTCAGTTTGTCGCTGTAGGAGGGCGATGCTGCTGCTGCTGCTGTGTGTAATCCCAATTGAGTAATTTTCAGGTATTTTTTTCAGTATTGAGATGTTTGGCCCAGTACCAGCTACATTTTATGGTGGAGGTTTTGTTTAGCTATGGGAGGAATCCGGGGGACCCAGAGGAAACCCATGCAGACCAGTGGGAGAACTTACCAACTCCGCACAGCAAGGCGCCAACGAGGCGTGAATCGAACCCAGGCCCTTCTTGCTGTGAGGCACAGGTATTAAACCACGGTGAGATGTATGATGACTGCACTCGTTCCATTGAGCCCTAATGCATTTTCACTGTCTACAAATACTGTAATGAATGGCCCAATAATATACACGTTAGAATTACAACGTTAGAGGCGATGGTTGAAGTGCCGAATAAATAGGGACTGTAAAGTTTGGCTCGAAATTATCTTAAAAAAAAAACTAAAAAAGAATGAACAATTGACAGGTTTCCTAACCTAAGATGCAACTGTAAGAACACGTGCTACTATAAATGCCTATCGGGCAGTAGTCACTGAAGGCCACATCGCAATACAAATAAACTATTTTACTTTTCTATTTTTTATTTTACCAGGTAAGGCCCACTGAGCTATACAGCTCTTTTTCAGAAGCGACCTGGCCGCAAATGATAGCTCAACGAAGTGGCTTATCATGTGGACATTTCTAGCAGCCAATTACTCTCAACGCGTGTTCATTCTAAATGTGGAGGGAAAAACCGGAAGACCCGAAGAAAAATCCACGCGACCACGGGGAGAGACGCGCAAACTTCGTATATACAGGCGTCAGGGTCGGGATGGAACCCACGACCTCCTGTATTCCCGGCGAGGTAGTTAACATCTCCCAGACACCGTGGCGGTGGAGGGGCCGAAGAGAGTAGATTGGATGGGGCGCTTTCGTAAAACAGAAAGAAAAAAACCCTCCCCCACGTGATAATGAAAAGCAATTTATCTGGGCTCATGCGTTACATGTTTATCATGCGCACAGTCTCTCCCCTGTACGATACGGGGCAGTCGCTTTCTAACAATACGCATTGAGTCACCCCAGAGAAGAAGACGGTCCATTAAGTCATCCGTGGTGCTGGAGGGGGTTGATGCCAACAAACGGATCACCCCCCCCCCTCCGTATGGGATGCCCTAAACAGGAAGGGGGGGTATTTTCCGGAACTTGGCCCTGGACAGCTCCGGCTGAAACGAAGCCCTGGCCGTAACGATTACTTATATAGCCGTGGTTACTTTGGGCCCTTGGTATTGAAATTTGTGTAAAAAAGGCGGGGAGGGGGGCGATAAGCCCCTGGCTGCTTTAGCCACCGAGATCGGTTACTGACGATGATGATGATAATGCGATATGTATACACATGGGAGAGCGGTGGCGCAGTTGTTAGCGAACTGCTCTCTGAACACCGTTGACCCAAAATCGATTTCCGGCCACGGCTACCATCAGTGGCGAGTGCGATGCGAACCGGGTGCTGCATTGCTATACTCCACCCCAACCTCCTGCCCCCCCCCCTCCTCTTAGACCACTGTCATCGACGAGCGACCGTGGTGAAGTATGGTCAAACAAACGCTCACGTATGCATGTCGGACTTCTTTCGCACCGTACGCAGCCGCCCGTGCCAATCGGAGGTGCGGGCGAACGACAACAGTTGGCTGGGAGGAGGAGGCTTTCATCCAGCGCAAAGGACGGTCAAATAGTATCGTTCATTACCGATGACACGTAATGCGCGTGCGACATACACCGGACACAATGTGTATGTCACGCGTGACACGTCTCCATGCAGCGTGACGGAGACGTGCACCATGAATATATACGGCGAGCACGTGTATCATGCATGCTCACGGCGCGACGTCGAACACTGTTTATGGTTTGTGGAGAGGGTTGGGTACAGGGTGAGTGCAGGGTGGATGAATGGCAGTGATCCATGGATGGGGAGGGGATGATGCAAAGGCATGGAGGATATGACAGTGGGAAGCATTCGGGAAGGAATGATGGCAAATGGATGGTTGGATGAATGAATGGCAGGGGGTTCGTGCATGAACAGGAAGGGATGGTTGGCAGAAAACAATGCATAGATTGATGGGATGGAGATGGGGTAATGCGGAGGGGAGGGTGCCGTGGAGTGGTTTTGAGGGAGAGGCTGCCCTGGGAATTGGGGAACAGGGGGAGGCATGGAGGCTGGGTGTGTGTGCGTGTGCGCGCTTCAGCCTGAAATGAGTTACTGGTGAGGTGTGTGAAATTATCGCTACTAAAGATACAAAGGCGGTCGGGCGTGGTGATGGCCACCTACCCCCTCGTGTGCCGTGCCGGCCTTCATAGGTGCTCGCACAGCAACTTACCCCATGTGTCTGTTCAGGCTATACGGGGGATCTTTGTCATTGTGTAATGGGGAGTGGTAGTGTGGCGGTTAACCGCGCTGCGCTCCGAAACCGACCACCCGAGTTCGATCCCGCTCACGGCCAACACCAGTGACGTTTATCTGAATCATGCCTGAGCCTCTCCTAGGTCGACTCAGCCTTAAATGAGTATCTGGTGCGAAGTGTAAACATCGCCACTAGGGAGACAAAGGCGGCCGGGCGTGGTGCCGGCCACCCACACCCTCGCGTGCCTTCATAGGTGCTCGCTAACAGCACTTGCCCTAAACGTATGTTAAGGCTATACGGGGGCTCTGTGTCTTTGTGATGGGTGCGGTGAGTAGGGGGGGGGGGGGTCGCGTGGCTGTTGGCGATGGGGGGAGAGCACCGCCTTTGTGTGCGCGCGCTCGCTGCAGCTTCACAGACCCCAGACACCCCCCACACACAGACACACGTGGAGTGTAGCGGTGCTGCAGGAGCAGCAGGAGCAGTAGGAGACCCACCACCTCCAACGCCGTCGTCGTCAGCATCGGCCCCCTCCACCATCGTTGTTGTCTCTGCGCGCCGCTGCCGTGAAGGAGGAACAGGAGGAGGAGGAGCGGAACCCCCAGGTACCCCCACGATGCGCACACCGGGCTCTGGCGGGCTCGACCGAGACACGGGGACGCACGCCAGGCACTCCCAGGCACTGCCAGGCACTGCCAAGCTGTACGCCCAGACGCGCCAGTCATTGGCGGGCACTCACGAGACACGAGGGCTCAACACCGCGAGGTTCCAGACAGGGGTGCACGCTCCGAACTGCCTGGTATTAATGAGTCACTGCCGGGTACTGGTTGCCAGACGCGACCACACACTTCCAGAGACTACCACACTCTACTTACCAGACTCCCCCAGAGACTACCAGACATTACCATCCACACACTGTCATACACTACCAGAGACTACCATAGACTACCGGACACTACCAGATACAACTAAGCACAGCAGGCGCGACGTGGGCGTACAACCGGCCACTATCACACACACACACGCGCACGCGTGTCCACCAAGAGCTAGCACCGGGCACTAGCAGGCACTGACCAGAGGTCGTAACCGGGTACCCGATACCCGTACCCTACCCGATACCCGGCTACCCGTACCCGGCCAGGTACGGGTACTGGGTACCCATTTGCGACCCTGGTGCGGCCGGGTACGGGTAAGGAATCAAAACCCGTTAGCGACCTCTGGCACTGACTCGGGCACTGACTCTGGCACTGACTCGGGCACGCGCAGCGGCACGAGCAGACCGGGAGCTGCCTGTGGGGCATGAGGCCCGCAGGAGGACGCGCGGAGGACAGCAACTCACTCGGTGCCTCTGTCTCGCTCTCTCTGTGCCCGTTTTGATCTCTCCCTCTCCATCCTCTACTCGTTAACTCGCAGTGTGGAGTCGGGGGGGGGGGGGGTAGAGAGAGATAGGGCAGGTCCCGGGTCAGAGTGAGTGGTTAAGAGAGAGAGAGGAGGATCGTGGAATTGTGGTGGTGGACTTGAATAAGGAGGTTGGGTAAGTGGTGGTGGGTAGTGGTGGAGGTTCAAGGAGGTGGTTTGGGTGGTGGTGGTGTTGATAGTGGATTACGTAGAAGTATTTGTTGGTGGTGGTGGAGGTAGTGGTAGTGAAGGAGGAGGTGTTACTGGTGGAGAACCTTGTGGTTGTTGGTGGTGGAGGTGGTGAAAGTGGCAGTGGAGGTGGTGGCGGAGGTTAAGGAGACGTTGCAGTAGGTGGTGGTTGAAGAGGTGGCGTAGCTGGTGGTGGAGGAGAGGTTGGGGTCGGTGGTGGTGTTGCAGGCGGTGGTGTGGGTGGTGGCAGTGTATGGGGAATTGCAATCGGTGGAGTTAGTGGAGGTGAAGGAGGCGTTGCAGTGGGTGATACGAGTAGTGGTTGTAGTGGTGGCAGTACTCAAGTAGACATTTCAGTCGGTGGTGGAGATAGTGGCGGTGAAGGCGTGGTTGCAGTAAGTGGTGGACTTAAGCCAGCCCTCTCAATGGAGCTCAAGGGGTTGGACGCCGATCAGGAATCGTTCACGGACAAAAGCGGTGGAGCGGGAGGAGGAGGTGGTGGTGAAGCGGGCGGTGGAACAGGTGGAGGTAGAGCAGCAGGTGGTGGTGGTGGTGGACACGAAGCTGCTGGCGCAGGAGACGCGGCCACCGGAGGTGTCGTCATCCGGGTGAAGGAGAAGAAGGGACCTCTCCGCGCCGCCATCCCGCGGATGCCCATGCTCGCGGCTGTGCTCTGCCTCCTCTGCAACATGGTCATTCCTGGCTCAGGTGCGCTCGCCTCCTAGATCCACTCGTTAACACTGAATCGACGCGGATGTTTGCGCATCCGACTGGCGCACTCTGGGTCGACTTGGCATCAATGTCATCTTCCCTCTCGGAGTTGGGCATCAGCAAGCAGCGACTTTGTACAAAGCAACCGTAGTTCGATGATGATGAGACTGGTCTCTGCCATGGGCATGTGGAATGTCCACCGATGGGTTAGGACATTTCAACCGACACAGGGGGGGTGTCTCCCTTGAATGGGGCTTAGGCTGTTGACAGGCTCTTCGTTAATAATGTACAACCCTTGTCAATCCACGGCTCATACTTTATCACGCTGGTCAGAACGGTTTGGTGATTGGCGAGGCAGAGAGGAGGTATGGCAGGATTGGTTAAGATGTCACTCAGCACTGGTGTATCCATATTAACCATGGCTGGCAATAGAACTTAGGTGGGCAGGTTTATAGCGCATCTGAGATCTTGCTATTGAAGGGATTGTGCCGTAACCTGAGTTGAGATTTGGGTTCGTGGTGGGCAGGCGGGGCCTTGAGTTGCTGCCTACTTGTAGCGTCACTGCTCAAACACTGACACCCAATTGTGGGGTTGTTCTCTCTGCATTTGCCAGTTTAGCGACTGTAAAACATGGGTTGGTGGAATGCCAAGTCATGATATGTATTTACACAGCAAAGCCTCGCTGAATCTCGAGGCCCTTTTTTTGTCGAGGAGGATCCTGCATCGGAATGTTTGGCCAAGTTCCATTATTCGGTCGTGCTTTTTTGGCTTCAAGAGGGAGAAACCTAGAGGACACTATTCAGAAGGGGAAACAAAAAAAAACTCACCCCCACGTACGACAGGGCAGCAATCAAAGTTCCACACAGATGGATTCAACAGTTCTAGAATGGCCAGAACAGTGGTGGGACGTGGGGGGGGGGGATCAAGTAACCGGTTGCTGTTGAGAAAATGGATCGGAGCATCTGTTTAGCATTAACGAAAATATGTTTAGGACAGTGCACATTATCAGAGTTATGTCTTTTGTTTGTAGTTTTGACTGCAGGTATTGCGGTCTATGCAAACATGACTCCTTGTAAAAAGGTGTCAGTTTTGTTGCCAGATAGAAGGGTAAAGAACCAATTATCATATTTTTACTGGCAAATGAGGTTCCCATAATGTTTAGGACGATTTAGAGAATCCACAGCACACAGCGCGCGGTGACCGGCGTTGACAACACGATCCGGTTTGGCTCTGCTGAAATCATTGCCCACCACGGTTTCTCGGTTCGCCACGTGTCGGTGGCGAGCGCGCCTTCCCCGTTCGACTTTTTGGGGCGAAACACGTGGGCCCCCACGGTGGTGGCGACGGCGGCGATGAGTTTCACAGACAAATGTCCTTTCAACGCCACGCAAATAAATATATTTTTTGCTCACATTTGGAACATCTTCCCAGGGTGGGAATCTGGCCGTTTTTTTTGTACGCGGTATATACTGTATCTAAGTGTAAACACCTCAAAGTGGCCAAGATCGTGATGAGGAAGGCAAGGAATGACCAAATTAATCTCTGTGGAACTCTGGCGTATGTGCGGCGGGTTTTCTCTGAGCCGCAGCCCCCCTCCTCCAGTTTCCTGCCATACGAAGGTAAAAACAGCTTGCCAGTGGACATGGCCCACCAGCCCCCCCCCCTCGGTGAGGCTTTCTCCTGTATGCATAAAAAGGTGCATTATTTGGAATTTCCTCCCGCACGACCCGTTAACCGAAACGGAGAACAAATAAAAAAAGCGTCATGAGTTGTGGACGTTGTAAGTGAAATGGAGAGATGGTAGCGGTGGGGGTAGGGGGGGGGGCGTTCGCAACGCACGCGGCTCACAATCAATGCCCCCCCCCGAACCCCTGCAGATGACATTCCTTTGCCTAATATGGGGGTGAGTTTCGTCGTCTTTCACGGACTTTGACGGCGCACGGATTATGGCATCGCCACCGCACACAACGCGCTGCAACGGCGGCGGTCACAATACGGAGTCGGTGCAAACGAACCCCGGAGGTGGGGAGGCGTGGGGGTTTGAGCGTGCGGCGCAGTGGTTAGCGCACCGTGCTGTGAAGCCGGCGATCTGAGTTCGATTCTCCGGCCACGACGAGCATCAGTGGCGAAGTGATGTCTGAGCCGATCTTGGTCTTGCTCCGTGACCGAATGGCATGGGGGGAGGCATTCATCCAGCACTGGATTTATAAAGAAGATATGGTCTATACAATACAAATATTTGCGTGTTGTAACATGTACAAAGACAAATATCCCCGTATAGCCTTAGCAGATTGTTGGGGAAAGTGTTATTAGCAAGCACTTACGAAGGCTGGCATGGCACACGAGGGGGTAGGTGACCATCACCACGCACTTTGTCTCCCCAGTGGCGATGTTTACACATCATACTCGGTACTCATTTGAGGCTGATTCCGCTCGGAGAAGGCCCAGGACTGGTACAGAATAATCCTCACCGATGTTGGCCGTGAGTAGTAATTGAACTCTGCTCGCCGGGTAGCACAGCGGATGCTAACTGCTACACGCTTGCAAGTGAACCCAGCACAATTTCACGCGCAATAATCCAGTGACCCAGATAATGAACTGGGTCCGTTATTCCTCCGTGGCCACTCATTAGTGGCTATCTGGCCAGAATCGCATATTGACGTGCCATAATTATTTGGTGCAGAGGGAGACATGGGGACGCCTTTTTGCCAAAACTTGTACATTGAGGATCGTGGCTTATGGCAAGCGCTACCCCTGGAATGGGGCACTGCCTTTCCACCTTTGTCTCTCCAGTGCTGATGCTGCTACTTGTGCACTTGTTAACCAGATTGAGGCTGCACGGGATATTACAACTCTTAGGGTCGAGTCTACTTAGTGGTGGACCGGCACTGAGTGCACACGCACACACACGCAGGCAGATTAAGGGCCTCTCGTCTGTATGTATGTTGAACTTGTTTTTAACTGTACAGAGCCAACCGTGCTGATCCCGAGGTGCTTTGATATACGCTGCAAATGACGTGTGTGTAAGTCAGGGTGATGTTTGTGGACTTCGTTATAACTAGGCAGACACGGGCATTTGATTGAAAACTGGATGAACTCAATGCACTATGAAGTTCTTTTTTCACAGGTGTCCAGCCCACAGCTGGTGGAAAATCACAGAGGAAGTAGCATAGGTAGATTAATTAAACGATCGCATGTAAACTCGGAACAAAGTATCAGAATGATACGTAAAACATTTTTTTGTTAACGAACAGCAAGAGTTAAAAATAATGGGAAGGAAAATTAGTCGCTCAAAAAAGTTTGGAGAATGTCGCATAAAGTGAGTGGGCGATGGAGGCTCCGTTAGTCTCGTTAATTGGGCGGTGGCAAACACGCGCCCCCCCCCTGCCCCCCCTCCCGTTATAGGGGGCGATGTGAGAGGTTAATTGGTGTCGTTGTTAGAAAAAGGGCAGCGCTGAGAACAACAACAGCGTTGGGAACACCGCTGCACACACCGCGCACCGCGCTACTGCACGACTGCACACGCATGTCGGCGGTTGTGGTTATGAAACAGGAGGAAATAGCTCAATTATCCACCGTGGGGTTTTTATTTAATTCGCGTAAGCCGAGACATTATACGCGTTCCAAAGAGGTTTTGTTAGGCGTGAAGCCGCGCCACTCAGGCGTCGTCGTACCGTGACGAAGATTTCTTTGCGTGAAATGCCCTCCGAGCATCTCAAAGGGCCTTGCAACACAATCCACACAACACACTCGATCGCTACGGGCAGGGTAATGGGGATGGATGCGCGTCGGAAAAACACCTCCACGTGATCCTCCAGTCTAATGCGCGGTTTTACTCGTTTTTAAGACCTTTATTTACGAAGTTAAATCCTAAAATTGTGCGAATACCGTGTTCGCGAACGAATGCCATCTCACCGGAGACCGAACGTTGCCCTTTGACCTCCCGCCCGCACTAGCGACTATCACAAGGACCCGGGTGTGCCCTTGTGAGCGCTGCTATTTCCCAACGACAGAAGACAAGGACGACGAAGACGAACGCAGGAAGAAGAGGGGTAAACAGGAGAAAGGATCATTAAAAAAATGCATTTGGGACAACGTGGAAAATACGAAACGGCGACATTTCCAGACGCGCGCGTACACGCGGGCACACAGCAACCACGGATGTTCAGCGCCAGTGACAGTGAAGTGTCAAGGAACGGTTGCGATGTCCATGCCCACGTGCAGCCCTTTTGTCCATCCACTCTGGGGCGAAGGCCTCCTCGCCCCCCACAGTGTGTGGATCGTGGGGGGCTATTTGACTATTAATTCACTACGCTGGTCCGTACGGGTTGATGAAGGGCAATTAGGAATTGCCCAGCACCGGTTCAGATATCGCTCGCCAACGACTGTTAACCTATGGGCGGGAATCGAAGTCTGGTTCGCCAGGTTCACAGCCCCATTTACCACGGCGCCACCGCTGCACCCATTATTGTTTGTTTGCTGAATAAACATCGCTCGAACGCAGCGGTGGATTTTAAACCCGGTGGCTGTACAAGTGCCGCAAGTGCGTTCGAGGCTGTGGCGAATATAGACTTCCTTTATTTGACCAAACCAGAGCCCCCTTGGCGATCGTGAACCAATTTTTGATTTGTGGGTCATGCAAGCGTTACAAGTTGTGCTTGAGCATGTGGCCACTGAGGTGGGGGGGTACGGGGGCAGAAGGGGGGGGGGGTGGGCGAGAGTGGGGGGGGGGGCGTGGAGAGGTCTGTGGGGTCCTCGATGGATGCTAATTAATGCTGCAGAGCGGATGGAGCGGATGGCTTCCTGCCAGTCCAACATTTGGGGCGGAGGGAGGAACAGTTGGGCCCCCCACCTTCCCCACACCCTCCACCCTACCCCATATGTTCTCGTACGCATGGGCTGATGACAGTTGCTGCTTAGCAACAGTCAATTTCAAAATATTTGCTTTGTTGTTTAATGTATTGTTTTTTCATATTTTTTTGGAAAATAGACGGCTTGATTTAAAATGTGCATGATTGATCGAACAGAAGTAGCTCTGCTCAGTCTCCAGGTATCTGCGTGGCGGCAGCATGGCCTTGTTTGAAGACATCACACATGGAGCTATAATAATTATATAAATATTAAAATATTAAAATGCTGATAATTATTTTCCCAAAAAATCCTCACTGAGCCTGAAGATTTGAATCCATATTCTTTGCCTGATGACGACCGCTTGTGGTCCTCGAGAGAGAGAGAGAGAAAGAGAACCACAAAGACAAAGGGGACAGCAGTCAAAAGACCCCACGTGTCCATCTCATGGCCCTGCTACGGTTTGGGAGTCTGACAGCACACGGTAATCTCTGCGTGATCCACCAACCTCGGCGTCATTGCATCTCCTTTTGTTGCGGAGCGTTCTCCTGCCATGGGGCGATGCACTGCCCTGCGATGGTTGGCAACGGCTTCTCCGTCTCGTGGCATGACGCTGACAGCACAATCGTGATTAAATTATTTGGTGGGGGGGGGGGGGGGAAACATTAGCGCAATGATGGAAGACGTGGGGACCTTTCCCCCGCCAGGGATGACGCAGTGTGCGCGAGAGGCATCATCACTGCGATGAGTCATGGGCCATGCCCCCAGGGGCGTCTCTTTCATGTCCAGATGCTGAGATCGACACGAAGCATCTCTCTCCACTTCTCTATATCTCTCTGTCTGCCTCTTTGTGCGTATCGCGGTGTGTGTGTCTCTTTCTCCGTGTCTATCTCTCTCTCTCTGTCTCCATGTCTCTGTCTCACTATCTATGCCACTCTCTCGCTTCTATGTTTCTATATATTTCTCTCTGCCTGTCCGTGCATGTTCGTGTGTTTCTCTCTCAATGTATCTCTGTCTCTCTCTCCACGTGTCTCCCTTTCACGGTCTCGTCACATCTGTCTGTCTCTCTACGTCTCTGTAGCTTTCCACGTCTCCTTCTCACCCCCATGGTAATTAGATTTGTAACAATGCATTGCGAGCGGGGTTTCATTCCTCAATGCATTTTTTTGCAGGTCGCTGATAGACTGGAGTAAGCCACGTGACAGGTAGCCGCAGCCACGGTCACAGCGAGAGGGATACTGGATGTGGTGTGCTGGGTGCAGAAATAAAATCCGAGTTGGCCAACCCAGACCCAGCTGACGTAAAGCCCGGATTAACTCGAGATCTAACATCCCAGCGTGCATTGAATAACGCACGTAAATTTTGTTTTCAATTGTACATTCATGAACAATTATACGTACAATTAGTGTCTGGCCACCGAATACAAAGGTGCATGTGGAGGATGTTAAAATGTGACGACAGGTATAGTTGAGTCGATACCTTCGGTGTTTTTTATGTCACTCACGCTCGCATAGGAGGGGAAATGTTCAATTTGCTGATGATGGAGCTCATGCAGGTAAACATTTCCGTCTTTAGCACGAGGCTCAAAGCAAATGTATAACGTTAGGTTGACCTCAGCCGATCAGTGAATCCGATCGTCCCCTGGTTTGCCATTTTTGGGAGGGTCTAGTTAAAACAAATCTTTGCTGTTGGATGTTTCTATTTATAACCGTACAATCGACTGTGTGTGCGCGCGCCAGAAACATCAGATTCCTGACCCTTCACTCGGTAGCTCCCAGTCTTCTACATCTGTTAGATATTAAATGATTTGTAATCTTTAAAAATGACTGGCGTACGTTATCTGTAATGGGATCTAACGTGTTCCAGACAAAGACTGGCTTCTCTACTTATACACTCGCACACATTATCAGTCAACCAACCTATTACACATTGTAATAATTCATGTAATAATTGATTAAAACGGGATTCTTATTTCATGGCGTGAATTGAATAACGCGTGTAAAAATATTTATTTTATTTTTACACTCATGAATACGGTAATTTAAAAAAAGGTGTACGTAGGACGTCAGAAATGTCCCGGTAGGTATAGGGTAAGCAACTTACAATGCAGCAAGAACAAAATTCATGAAATCGAGAGAAGAGATGGTGGCGATGGGTGGGGATACGTGTGTGTAGGCTGGAAAAAAAGAAGACCCACAACCAAGCGGTGGTGATGATGAGACTGTAAGGGTGGTGCTTAAAGAATGTGTCAACTGGTTTAGCAAGGGCAAGCCCTAAAGTCACACGGTCGTAATGATGAGACTGTCAGAGGCGGTCCTGAAGAGAGGTCAGGGGTCAACTGCGCAACAGCTGAAGTAATCTGATAGGAGAGCTCTGATGAATTGTGATGTGGCGGCATCAACGAAATTGGCCGTGATGACCTCTTGACCTTTTGCACAGGGTAGCAAGCTCCGTCTCTTTCGCCGTTAAGTGCCTCCTAAATAAATCCTTACACTTTCTGTAAATAATGAGAAACTCGTCAGACAGAAACGTGCATGCAGACTTGACACCAGTGAGAGCAGTAATAATAGTAGATGCATGAGTTGATACTGGTAGGAACCTCCTGGTTACACCAGCCTACAGGGGATTATTGTGTCCGTCCGTCGTGCATACAAAAATGGGAGGGGTGGGGCTGGGTGGAGAGGGGAGGGTGGGGAGGAGCTGGGTGGGGAGGGTGGGGAGGGGCTGGGTGGGGAGGGTGGGGAGGGGCTGGGTGGGGAGGGTGGGGCTAGGTGGGGGGTGGGAGGGGTGGGGCTGTGTGGGGAGGGGCTGGTCACCCCGTGGTGTCCTTATAAAACTCAACGTTTAACTTACTTACGCCGGCTTGTGCCAGCCCTCACAGTCGGCCATATTTGCGTAATACACCACGCCGCCGTTGACCCTGGTCATTGACCGAGCAACCCAACGTTCCTACCAGCTCCCTCCGCAGGAATGTGTTTTAGAGACGGCAAGAGGCACGATCGAGACAATTTGGCTTGGTCCTTCCAGCCTGCCCTGCGTGCCACGCGAGGGAGTCTAGAATGCACAACAGTCTTATTTTCGACCAAGACTTCAACATTATGGCTATATTATTGTTACACAGCAGCACAATGTGTCAACTGTACACCGGTTTCATTATTTTTAGGAATCATCAGTGCAGAGTGTAGCCATCGTTACCTACTTGCAGTAGCTGTGATGTCACTTGACATGTAAGGCATGATGGGCAGACTGGGCCAAATGTTCACGATCACACCTTTGGCTGTCTAGAAATCACTTTTTGCACATTTTAATCGCAATAATGCAGGGGTCGGCAGCCTGCGGCTCGTTAAGGAAAGTGTTGTGACGTTATTCATTAAGGAGTGTCTCGCATTCACACGCATTGTGGCTCTTGAAATATTGAGTTTTTACCGAATGAAAAAAATAAGTATCTTCTTGTTATTTTGGTTGCCGACTCTTGCACTAAAGGGAAGCTGCGATGGCGTGATGGTTCGAATGCTGGACTTGCAATCCAAAGGATGCTGATTCGGTGGACTGCAAGGCCGTGGGAAGCAGACTGTTTTAGATATACATTGATTTAGAGTCGTTGTATACATTACTGGTACACGGCGGTCCGCAGAAATGTTTTCAGGGCTGACCGTGGTCCAGAAAGGCTTGGGAACCACTCGTCCGTTGCCTATCCAATCGTTATCATTTTTGACTCTTTGCGCTGCTTAACTGGCCGACAACTCGTCCCTTGCCCCACCAAACCCTCGTCGCCACAGGAACGCTGCTGTCTGCCTTCTCCGTGCTGTGCGGCGCGCGCACCGACCTGCCTGACCGCCACGTGTGCTGCGTCTTCTGGCTCAACGTGGCGGCGGCGCTCATCCAGCTGGGCACCGCCGTGCTCATCGTCGGCTGGATCCTCAGCATCTTCTGGGGCATGGACATGGTGTTGCTCTCCAGTGAGTTGCCCCTCCGCTATGGCCTCCCCCCCCCCACACCTTTAAATCCATAACCCCACTCTCTACCCCCAGTGGTTGTCAAAACCTTTTTTGTTGGCTACTGCACCCTTTGATGAAAAATAAGAATAGGGAATAGGTTTAACCCTTTCTGGCAATAACACGGGTGGTATTAAGATGTTCAAACACCACAATAGATACCTTTTTGCAAGGCATCAAGTCTGCATTAACCACATATGCTCGTGTCAAAACATACAAAACAAACATGCTCTGATAATATATGCATTGTCCTTGAAACTGATTCGCCTACACCAGAGACGGCCTTCTTTGTGGCCTTGTCTCACCAGTGTTAGACCATAGAATATTCTTAGGTTTTTTCGGTAAAGTCACGTAGGTAAAAAATAAAAATTAATAAAAGTAAAATAAAAATAAAAATCACGACGTTTCGGAGGCAACACAAGCTTCCGTCTACGTGACTTTACCGAAAAAACCTAAGAATATGAATCCTTGCAGTCACGAAAGCTTCAAATCTAGACCATAGAATGCCAAAAGGCGTACAGTACAACGACAATGCAAGTGTAGTGTTGTTCAACACGGAGGCACACACTCTGGACTGGGAGGCAACTATTTAACAACGTCCCTAGCGGGTAACACTCAATGTAACTCGGGTTCTATAGTAGGTGATGTGGCTAACTATGCCAGTAGCGAGTTAACTCTAGAGTCTAGACCAGGGGTCAGGAACCTTTTTGACTGGGAGAGCCATAAAAGCCCAATATTTCTAAATATATTTCATTGAGAGCCATATAGTAATTTTTAACGTATAATAAATTAAATATGTCTTACTTTTAATGCGACTTCTGGTGCTGCATGGTTTTGCTGATGGCCTTGTAGTCTGGTTCATACGACTTGGTGAGGTTGAGCTTCGTGCAGGCGTGACCCGTGAAATTTATCTTCAAAACTAATTTCTGTTTACTTTAAAATGACACAGTATTATTAAGCAATATCACAAGTATTTTAAAATCAGTTCCAAACAGATTTTTTTTTTCAACTCAAAAATTGTCTGGGAGCCATATGCCGTCACTGGAAGAGCCATATATGGCTCGCGAGCCATAGGTTCCCGACCGCTGGTCTAGACGGAGACCCGGACTTGATTTCACCGACGAGCCAACAACGCTCTCGCGACTGCCCCTTGATGCTCCTGGGCGTGGCCTCGCTCCGACTTCGGCCACACCCCCTTCGAGACCTTTCCGGAAGGATCCCGACCGAGCATCACGTGCCCCACTCGGGCTACCACGTGCCCCCTTGCCCTCTCTCTCAGGCCATCACCAGGACTATGCCCCCTAGCACTGGCTGACATGCCGCACTTACTCTGGTGCTGGAGAGAGGCTCCAGACGCACAGTTGCACTCAGTGGTGGCTCCTGCAAAATCTCTCAGGGGGGGGCAAATGTCTGGATGATTGATAAGGATAAGGTCCACCCATGCAATGGATAAATTAACAGCTTAAGCATGTAAAGGCAACTTCACTTCTTTAATATTAATGAAAAATAAAGTGACTCTTACAATACATCTTGTTTGTTTCTATACTCACTATTAATACAATCCACTCAAGTTTCTTTTATTAAAGATTCCACTAGGTGGCGACAAATTATATTGTTGGATGAAACGTGCTTACGTATGATGACGTAAGCACGTTAGTGCGAGCCCTCCCGGAAGCCATAGAGAATGCATTGCAGCGCCCCCCATTCGAAAAAAAACATCTTTGAATGTAAGTCTATGGGGCCACTCGGGGCGATTCTCAGCCGGAGTGAAATCGCCCAAAAAGAGGCGGTACTCCACAGAACGTAGCATGACGCTGATTGGACTATATCCAGAGGCACAGTGACGGCTAGCGTGACTCTGTGGTTGAATGACATTGGTGGTGCGTCGCCCAATCGCCCTAATGAAGAAACCGCCCCTGGTTGCACTCCTGTAACAGTAGCTGGCGCGAACACCCGAGTGACACCATTTTCGTCACTACACAAGTATCAGAACTCTTATAGCTCAAGTCGAGCAGTAATAAGAAAAGGTTTTTGATTTCGAGCAAAAAGGTCATATAGATACTGTACCCCTTGTTGAATTGTTTCAACCGAGTATCCCCCCACCCCCCTTTGCCTGGCCCAACATGGTTCTGAGAAATAAATTTACAAATAATGAACATCAATATTTTATCCAATTGATCGTGTTGTGAGGTATCCTGACTAGCTGGTAATTGCAAGAGAATATTAAACAAAATGTCAACGGACGCACTTGCATGCGTGACGTCATGTAATTCGCATTCACTGGCTTCTCTTGGAAACCAACATTGTTTACGATCAATAAGTTTATCAAATTTATTTGATATCATTCTAGGTTACCATATGGATTTACATCTTATTATAGTCATTTTATATTGGCATATGCATACATGATTATTCACCAAATACTGTCATGTTTGATATAATTTCACACATTTATAAATCACCTCACGAACCCCATTGGACATTGCCACGTACCCCCTCGTTTTTTTCTCCTCCCCACAACTTTGATCCTTCCCCCCTAACCCCACCCCCCCCATTGAGCGGTGATGCCATGTGGGACGGTTACCAGTCGAGTGTTGACTCCTAATATATTCAACATTTTCGACGAGTTCGTGTGGTTTTTTTTTTGGTTCTGGGATTGTTTAGTTATTTATTATTCCACCTGTAGCTGTATTTGAACCCATGTGCACACATCAGATATTTCATGCTCTCGCCTAATAGGCTTTCCATCCAGCGTCCTGGTACCACAGTGGCTACTCCCTGGGTGATCTTGTTTGTGCTCGTGACAGTGGTCGCCATGATCGTCAGGGCTGGGGAGACGTGAAGGAAGCCAGCACGTAGAGTCGGCACTGGAAACTTTCCCAGGGGGCAGGGGCTCAGGACGGGGGGGGGGGGGGTTTATATATTAAACAAATATATATACATTTAAATCAGTGTATTTTCCCTGGTAAATTTCAATGAAGTATATTTTTTAGGTCTCAGGGAGGGTTGGGGGAGGGGGGGTTATTAGCCCCTATCTTTAAGACGAAGTTTTAAGCAAAATTTAACGATTCATTTTGATTCATTTTGATTCCCAAGCACACGGTACATGCATCAAATCATGCTCGTCATAATTATTTGTGATTCGTACGCGCATCTTGTACGTCATGGGTTCGTCGGATCAATGCAGCTACTAGTGGCTGCTACCATTTGCAACAAATGCACAGTAGTAAAAAAAACCTAAATTCTTCAATGGAATCGTGACAATTGAATTGTGCGTGTGCAGCTTGGGCTGTCCGGATGCTCATGTGCAGAAGAGCATCGCGTTTGCCCTTGAGCTGCTCCTCTGTGCTGTCAATCAAATGTATAATAATAGTAGTAATTGACGGCCCTGTGTAATTCCACCACTGGATGAAGGTCTCCCCACGCTGTATTGGTTGTGGGGTTGTATGTTCACACTTGAGCACCTGGGAATCAGGGCTCACCCAGGACCGGTTCAGATATCACTCACCGCTAATCTCAGCCCTGGCTGGGAATCGAACGCAGGACGCCAGGTTCATAGCCCAGTACAGCGCTCCCCCCCTATAACATGTTTGTGGTCTGCGCTATAAACATTTACCTTTGCCCCTGATCCAGTGCTCTGAAAAATCCACCATTTTAATTTGATTAAAAATGTCATCGAGTCCCCCATGCGCTTTTGGAATTTAGTGATGCTCATCTCCATTGCTCTTCCTGAGACAGCGGTGGAAATTCCACGTTCATATGGCAGGGATCAGCATCTCCTTAATTGAACAACACGATGATTGCGGTGGCACGTGTGTCTCCCTGATTCCCAGAGGGCCGTTCGCAGCAATATCCCCAGCAGCTGTGAGCGTGGAGAAAGTGGGAGCACGAGGAAGATGAGGAGGACGAGGAGGTGGAGATGGAGACAATGACACATCCACGACCGATTCTCCTCCGCTGACCAGCACGTGCAAGAAACGCCCCTCAATTTCTCCACCAAGGGCACAGCTGCCCCCTCAAAATCCTCATCTTACCAACAACCATGCCGATTCTTACCTCATTACTTTACAGGGGATCGTTAAATCATCGCACGATTCTGCCAACGCTTCAATATAATTGCTCGGCCCAGTGGCGGCACCACCACATGGCCTTCAATACCATCGGGTGTATTCACCTGCGAGAAATGTACGTTCGTAAATTTGACGAATCCATAGAGAGGTGTGAGTTGGTCTTGGCCGGTGTGATTAGCAGCGGTGGAAGAGGCTTGGAGTCAAGGTGAGTGAGGGAATGGGACCATCATTAGTGTCACTAGTCAATGACGATGGTGCCTTCGTTCACCCCAGCGTCATCCCCAAGCAAGAGATGATAAATTCCCTCTAAAAACCCGCTGACATCTGTGTTCCCCATCCGTAAATATCACCTGCACCAGTGCCAGGTGTTTGGTGGGTTCTGAATTGCACAGAAACACATTTCTGTTAATTCTGACCTGGCTGAGCCTTTTGTTTGAGTTTTTACCCCACTGAAATCGAGTTTGGTTTGAGCAAATGACCAACTTCAGCCAATTACGCTCTGACCCATCGTGCTTTCTTTTAGGGGTGGAAGGATGCATCGATTCACGAATCAATATTGTTTTTAAGCTCACAATACACTCATAGAATTACACGTGTAAGACTCTACCAATTTTTCGATTTAAAGCTTTCGTGACTGCAGGGATTCATCTTCTTGTTTCTTTCGGTAAAGTCACGTAGAAGGGAAGTAATAAAATAATAAAAATAAAACATAATAAAACAATTCTCACGACGTTTCGGCTACAACGCAAGCAGCCGTCTTCAGGTGAAGAATGAGACACTACCAAACTAGGAGCTTATATATAAGCTGCATTGGGGGTTGAAGAGCGCCTTAACAAAAAGAATGTGCATGTGAAGAGGGATTTAGCATATTCATGGAAAATGCGTAGGCGTTGGGCGGGGGGGTGTCAAAGTCATATTATGCCCATGCATTATGCAGGATCAGCAGCAACCAAGGGGGGTGCAGGGATTAGCAGTAACAAAGGAAAGGAATGTTAATGATATGTAGCTGCAGTTACTCAACAACACCGTAGAAAACTAAAGTATAAACTACATAAAAAACTAAAGTATAAACTGCATCGCACCATCAGTATACTTACTATACTCTATAATAAGCTGAGTTACTAACAGCAAGTAATACATTACAATTTTACCTCGTAAAAATTCTATAATATGCTTCCATCTAAACCTTATTCTCTTACATCACACGAGCATATACCGTACTATATACTGCCATAGATAAACCCAACATTAAATTATATACTGTATTGCTGTAAACCAACCTATATCTTATACATTTAATATCACACTATGTATTATTCTACACACCCTAATGTGTATCGAAATGGTTTATTACGTCCTTCCAATGATTGCTGAGCCAGAATCCATCTTCTCGGTTAAAGTTGTCTCTGTGTTTGTATATGTGGATCGCCTCATGAACGAATCTCTCATGATAGCCAGATGGCTTGCAGAGAACCTCTGTCTTGGAGAAGTCAATATCATGTGAGCCCACTGAGTTGTAACAGTGATCTGCCACGGCTGAGGTGTTAGTCCTACCGTGTTTCAGGTCAGCTTTATGTTCACGGATGCGGTCCGAGACATGTCGTTTGGTTTCCCCAATGTAACTGCTACCACAGAGGCAACTTAGTTTGTAGACGCCAGGGTACTGTATGTCTGGAACCACATCTTTTACAGACGGTACCAGATCACGGATTTTATGTACTGTGTTGAATCGGACCAGGATCTTGTGTTTAATCAGGATTTTGGAGATCTTTTTTGTGACCCCAGCAATGTAGGGTAAGGTGATGGTCTTGAAAGGCTCCTCAACAGGATCCTTCTTGATGGTTGGAGTGATGGCTTTGCGGATTGTATAGTCGGAGTAACCATTTGCCTTAAGAGCTTGGCGTACGTGTTTGAGTTCACTGGAAATGTGTTCATGGTCGGAGATGCATTGGGCTCTATGATATAGAGTCTTGATGAGGGAATTCTTCTGAGATGGATGGTGGTGGGAATCCGGTTTTAGATAAGCATCCGTGTGGGTGGCTTTCCTGTAGACAGAGTGGCTCATTGAACCATCAAGTCTCCTTTTGATTAGGACATCCAAAAAGGGTAGCTTGCCATCATTTTCGACTTCCATGGTGAATCTGATGGCTGGGTGTATGGAATTGATGTGGTCGAGAAATTGGTCTAGAGCAGGCCGGCCATGTGGCCAGATGACAAAAGTGTCGTCTACGTACCTCTTCCATAAGGTCGGGCGTAGAGTGGCAGTCTGGATGGCGTCCGTCTCAAATTTCTCCATGAAGATGTTGGCTACAACCGGAGATAGGGGGGAGCCCATTGGGGTGCCCTCAATTTGCTTGTAGAAGGTTCCATTCCAGGTGAAGTATGTATTGGTTAAGCAGTGTCTCACCAGGGGGGGTACCCCAGCATTCAGTCCTTGATGAACCAAGTCTTCAATGATTGCGATGGTGTCAGGCACAGGTACCTTGGTGAACAAGGAAACCACATCAAAACTGACAAGCAGGTCGTCTGGGGACAGGGCAATCCCCTTGATTGTCGATACCAGGTCAGTAGAGTTTAGTACTGCAGAGGTGGTTTTTCCAGTGAAAGGCCGTAGGATTTCGGACAAAAAACGAGCCAGTTTGTAAGTGGGGGAGTTGATAGTAGAGACAATGGGACGAAGAGGTGTATCTTCTTTATGTATCTTTGGCAAGCCGTACAATCTTGGTGGTCTGGCTGCAGAAGGTTTCAACGAGAACTGTTTGGTCTGATCAATTAATGCGGTTGAAGCAGAAATGATGTTGTTGGTTTTGGAGACGAGGCTGTTGGTGGGGTCTCTTTTTATTTTTGTATAGCTGCCATCGTTTAGTAGTTCTTGAATTTTGTTGTTGTATTCTATTTTGTCCATGATGACAGTGGCATTGCCTTTGTCGGCTGAGAGGATGACAATGTCATCCCTCTTTTTTAATTGACCGGACCCACACATTGAAAAGCTAGATATTAACAAAGTCGTAATTAATCGCAGTAACAGTCCTATTTCTGAAGGTTTGAAATCCGTTTTAGCTAAAGGACTAAACTTTGCAGTCACACCTAGACACATACCAGTTAATGATATAATTGCTCGAGTAGATGTAGCTCTCAAGGGCTTGAGTCACATCGCTGCAGACGTAGCAAGATCCGAAATCTCTGTAACCCTCAAAAACGCTAAGATGCCAGCTAGCAACATCAGCAAAGAGGAGCGTTTTGAATTAGCTCAATTAAAAAAGAGGGATGACATTGTCATCCTCTCAGCCGACAAAGGCAATGCCACTGTCATCATGGACAAAATAGAATACAACAACAAAATTCAAGAACTACTAAACGATGGCAGCTATACAAAAATAAAAAGAGACCCCACCAACAGCCTCGTCTCCAAAACCAACAACATCATTTCTGCTTCAACCGCATTAATTGATCAGACCAAACAGTTCTCGTTGAAACCTTCTGCAGCCAGACCACCAAGATTGTACGGCTTGCCAAAGATACATAAAGAAGATACACCTCTTCGTCCCATTGTCTCTACTATCAACTCCCCCACTTACAAACTGGCTCGTTTTTTGTCCGAAATCCTACGGCCTTTCACTGGAAAAACCACCTCTGCAGTACTAAACTCTACTGACCTGGTATCGACAATCAAGGGGATTGCCCTGTCCCCAGACGACCTGCTTGTCAGTTTTGATGTGGTTTCCTTGTTCACCAAGGTACCTGTGCCTGACACCATCGCAATCATTGAAGACTTGGTTCATCAAGGACTGAATGCTGGGGTACCCCCCCTGGTGAGACACTGCTTAACCAATACATACTTCACCTGGAATGGAACCTTCTACAAGCAAATTGAGGGCACCCCAATGGGCTCCCCCCTATCTCCGGTTGTAGCCAACATCTTCATGGAGAAATTTGAGACGGACGCCATCCAGACTGCCACTCTACGCCCGACCTTATGGAAGAGGTACGTAGACGACACTTTTGTCATCTGGCCACATGGCCGGCCTGCTCTAGACCAATTTCTCGACCACATCAATTCCATACACCCAGCCATCAGATTCACCATGGAAGTCGAAAATGATGGCAAGCTACCCTTTTTGGATGTCCTAATCAAAAGGAGACTTGATGGTTCAATGAGCCACTCTGTCTACAGGAAAGCCACCCACACGGATGCTTATCTAAAACCGGATTCCCACCACCATCCATCTCAGAAGAATTCCCTCATCAAGACTCTATATCATAGAGCCCAATGCATCTCCGACCATGAACACATTTCCAGTGAACTCAAACACGTACGCCAAGCTCTTAAGGCAAATGGTTACTCCGACTATACAATCCGCAAAGCCATCACTCCAACCATCAAGAAGGATCCTGTTGAGGAGCCTTTCAAGACCATCACCTTACCCTACATTGCTGGGGTCACAAAAAAGATCTCCAAAATCCTGATTAAACACAAGATCCTGGTCCGATTCAACACAGTACATAAAATCCGTGATCTGGTACCGTCTGTAAAAGATGTGGTTCCAGACATACAGTACCCTGGCGTCTACAAACTAAGTTGCCTCTGTGGTAGCAGTTACATTGGGGAAACCAAACGACATGTCTCGGACCGCATCCGTGAACATAAAGCTGACCTGAAACACGGTAGGACTAACACCTCAGCCGTGGCAGATCACTGTTACAACTCAGTGGGCTCACATGATATTGACTTCTCCAAGACAGAGGTTCTCTGCAAGCCATCTGGCTATCATGAGAGATTCGTTCATGAGGCGATCCACATATACAAACACAGAGACAACTTTAACCGAGAAGATGGATTCTGGCTCAGCAATCATTGGAAGGACGTAATAAACCATTTCGATACACATTAGGGTGTGTAGAATAATACATAGTGTGATATTAAATGTATAAGATATAGGTTGGTTTACAGCAATACAGTATATAATTTAATGTTGGGTTTATCTATGGCAGTATATAGTACGGTATATGCTCGTGTGATGTAAGAGAATAAGGTTTAGATGGAAGCATATTATAGAATTTTTACGAGGTAAAATTGTAATGTATTACTTGCTGTTAGTAACTCAGCTTATTATAGAGTATAGTAAGTATACTGATGGTGCGATGCAGTTTATACTTTAGTTTTTTATGTAGTTTATACTTTAGTTTTCTACGGTGTTGTTGAGTAACTGCAGCTACATATCATTAACATTCCTTTCCTTTGTTACTGCTAATCCCTGCACCCCCCTTGGTTGCTGCTGATCCTGCATAATGCATGGGCATAATATGACTTTGACACCCCCCCGCCCAACGCCTACGCATTTTCCATGAATATGCTAAATCCCTCTTCACATGCACATTCTTTTTGTTAAGGCGCTCTTCAACCCCCAATGCAGCTTATATATAAGCTCCTAGTTTGGTAGTGTCTCATTCTTCACCTGAAGACGGCTGCTTGCGTTGTAGCCGAAACGTCGTGAGAATTGTTTTATTATGTTTTATTTTTATTATTTTATTACTTCCCTTCTACGTGACTTTACCGAAAGAAACAAGAAGATGAATCCCTGCAGTCACGAAAGCTTTAAATCGAAATTTAACCGCCTCTACGGGGAGGGTTTCCACATAACTTTGAGATCCTTCAACAAGCTCCGGGATAAGAAGGCTCAGCTAATCGAGTCTCTCACCTTTCTGAAGAGATGCCGCGACTCTAAGGTAATACCAAACGCATTTACACTAACATCTGCTGCTGTAACTTCTTCTAATGCGAAACGAATTCTGTCTAGAACTAGCTTAGCTCTTATCTCAGAGAAAATCAGACTTACGCGCACCGAACTAGA